GTTTTATTTTTATGATCTTTCCAAATAATGGAGATGAAACCTATGATATAATTATGTTATAAATGTGTATGAAAGATGCAAAGGGATTTGACCCATCAACTTTCATTATAAAAGTAGCAAATATAATAGAGAACAAGTTTTAGCATTTAAATATTCATTTTGTTCCTAGCACAGAAAAATTCTTAAGTCAGAGAAACACAAATTTGTAAAAGTCCTAAAAAGTTGACATTTCTTTTCAAAATTATAAATGCCAACTACAAGTTTTTGAAGTCAGAGGAAGGAGAGAAGAAAAATCTAAAATCTAAAATGCCAAGAAGGACAGTTGCTCAATACAAAATTTGACATAACAAAGAAAAACAAGTATTATAAGAACTATAATAGTAGTCTTTATTGAAAACATCTGAAAGTTTTAATATGAAAGAAAGTATTATGTATTCATGAATTCAAGAGGAGACAGGTGACTTCTCTATGGGAGAGCATATCTTCATAATTATATTTGACAAATAAAAAGTACATCAGTTTGAGAGCATTTTTTCATATGTTTAACGTGTACTTATTAAGCATAATAAAAAAGCATACAACCAAAGGAATTTTAAAGGAAAAAGAACAAAGTTGTAATTGCACTAATTTCCTTATTTAATAATTTCTCTGAATTGATAAACTATTTAGGTAATTAATCTTCTCTAAAACTTCTCTTAATCATATATACGCAATTGCAGTTTTTTAAAGGGATATTTAAAGATTTTATTTTTGACTAATTTAAAATACTTGTTTGTTTATATGTCCTCTCCTCTTTGTAAATTAGTCATATGTAGCAAGACAAAAAAACTAACAAAATAATTCAAGGATTCTGATCAATTGCTTAGATGAAACGTTTTAGTAAAAGACAATATATATTTTCAGAAACATATTTAGATTGTTTTACTATGTTACTCTCAGAAATAAGCATTTCTTGAGCAGGCATCATCTATCTAAGCTCCAAAAGAGAAATAACAAACTAAATATAGAACATAGATAAAACAGAGACTATGATTAGCACTAACATTTAATCAATATATTCTAATTAGTAGTCATATTATTAACCACACACAGATTAAATAATCTATGTTACTCTCAAATCCAAATGAGATGTAATGATATATTAAGTAAAAACTCAAATATATAAGTATCATATTAAGTAAGGATGTCACTGGCTTTACTGAATTTAGACATGCTACTAGAATTAATTTAAGTTCAGGGAAAATATGAATTTGTGTATCTTTTATCTCTTAATAAAAACTAATCATAACAAAGTTTTATCATTAACATAATTTATGGTAGGAAATTTTATATGTAAACAGAGATAAATGTGCATATGTCTAGTGGATGTATAATATCAGTTTTTAAAGTCATAAGTTATATCATTATAGAACTGTATTAGAGTGGGGCATAAATATCCTATATCATGGAAGGATGAAAATATATTTTCTAAAATTAGACTTTTGCCATTAGACTTTTACCAATAAACTCTGAAATATTACATTTTTCTTTTTATTTGCATTAATCTATCCCTGATTTAAAGTAACATAAATGATCTCAAATCAATTATTCACATTATAACTAGAATGAATAAGTACTTTCCTTATATCAAGAATAAGTACTTTCCTTATATCAAGAAGGATCAAGAATAAGTACTTTCAAGAATAAGTACTTTCCTTATATCCTTATTTCCTTATATCAAGAATAAGTACTTTCCTTATATACTTTTCTTATATCAAGATCCCAAAATAAGGAAGCTGCAACAGATAAGACATTTGCATGTTTTCACTTTAAATAGGGTAAATTCAGTTGAATTTCACTCAAATTTTTAATTTTCGCATCTGTGGAAACTGTTTGTGGGTTAAATGCTTATTTTTTTCTCAAATATCCTGTTAAGAATTTATTACAAAAATTTCAAATATAATTTATTTAAGTATTCCTAAGTAAAACCTTTTGAAATAAATATATCTTAATATTTCGTTTTGTGCCATCATTTTTAATGTTACATATTCTGATTCTGCAGATGTTATCTGAACATGATAAATGTACACAATGACTTTACGCAAATGAATAATTATATCTATAAACAGTAAAATATTACACTTATATTATGCAGTTATATTTTTGTCAGAACTACTTAAGAAACTTATTACATCAAAAAGGAATGTTCTCTTTTCTATAACAAAATTATAAAAGTCATTAAGTGATATATTTTTTTAAACCACTCAAAAGAAAATTGGATTAAATAGAAAGGAAATACAGATTAAAAGAGTAGGAGCAAAATTTGATTACAATGACTTAAAGCAACTCCTGGTATCCCAATCCATAGAACAGAATAAAGTGAGTGGAAGTAATTCAAGTCATTCATACAGAGGTCAATTTGAGAACAACCTGGGTCTCAAATTTGAAAAAATGCATTTTTAAGAGTAAGTATATTTTCTCTTTTTTTAGGTAATTGTGGCTCATGGAACTGTGAGTTTAATACTCATACTGATGTAAAATCATAAATTTATGTCAACCTGAAAGTAACTGGGCTGTGTATTGCTAAATATAAAAATATAAAAATTTAATCATATATAAATACAGCTTTAAATTTCATGTTTCAGAACTCATTAACAAAGACACTCAAACAATCATATGGACCATGGAACTCTTATTTGAATTCTCCAGGGACTATGTCCAGAAGTTAGTGACCTATCATAATTTACCAGGGGAAAAAAACCTGTTTTATAATGGGAAAACACTTATAATTTGTCTTAAAAATCTGCTCATGTCAGAGGATGAGCCAACACCAAATGTTCATACTGCCCAATGCATGAGAGAAATTAATGGAATTCTGATAGAGTCGTTCAGATTACATAATAAAATGTTCAAGAAGACAAATCAAGTCTGGTTTAGAAGTACATATACAAATAAATTGCATTTAAATATTGCAAAAATTTAATTTTTGTACCCCTGAATGCATCGATATCAGAAAGGACAATGTATAATGCCTCTATAGCAGGCATGGGAATTAGTAATTCATATAATTACTAATTAGTAATTCACCAGTCCAGTTGTGAATTAGAATTTGAACATCTGGTCAGCCAGCAGAGCCATGTGGATCATGGGTTGTTTTCATCCACATTCACATGACTAGTCCCTGTGCAATAAGGATTCTGGGAAAAGAATGACTCTAATGAAGGTGGGGTAGGGAGAAGGGGGGAAGCATACTTTATTCATGGGTCAGAAATTCTCCTCAGATTTGTATAAGATTAACATGACTGTCTAGCCAAACTAAAAAGAACTCACCAATGTAGGAACTATGAAGTAGTTCTCCCTTTATCCTGCAAATTCAGGCATATATACTACAACTCACTATCTAATTCATCTTTCCATAAGCAAAGAGTTTTGAAAGACAGCATAAGATTACTAAAGGATTGAAAAATACCTAAAAGAAAGGTGAAACATTCTGTTTCCAAGGAAAAAATGAGATTAAAGGAGAATCTGGAGGATTTAAGTTTGCTGTAAACATGATTTTGATCCTGGTTTGGTTAATATTTAAGGTGGATTATTAATTCTAAGGAAATGCCAGTCAGGACAATTTTTCAAAACAGGAAAGATTCTGAGTAGATCCTCTGAAAGACTGAAGGTAAGCTTAATGACAATTCTCTAAGATTCTTTTAATCCTGTGAGTTTACTTTTAAGTGCCAATATAAACAGTATATTCTATCTTCCACTTCTGATTCAGCATGGCATTGTTTGGGGTGTTGCATGGACCCACTTTTTACAACACATAAAAGCATGTGAGGAATAATTTGTCATAATTAGGGATCCTGGTGTTTTGTCTGGGCATTTGCACTTTCTGATTTAGATTTCTCATGCAAGGCACATATGGTACTTAATGAAAGGTCTTTATAATACAGCACAGTTCGGAATAATTATGCTAATGATGCAAACTCATGATGGAAAGTATTAAATAAAAAAATAATACAACTAACTTCCCCTCTTATCATACAGATTTAAAATAATTACTTTTATATTAACTAGAAAGCTTGTTCGTTAAGTTTTTTTACACTTACCGCTAATCCGAATAATTACAATGTTAAGACATTCATATTCAAGAATATTCAATTCATATTTAAAAATGTTTACAAATCTACATCATGACTATTTGTTCCTTAAAACACTTAAATCTTTCATCTACAGTGTATAGCGAGGAATGGATTACTATATCAAAGGCATAAATTTTGCCCAAAATTTTTATTAAAAGGCTTGGATAAATCAAACTCTTAACTACACTCAATAGTATTCCAGGGTAAATATCAAGGTCTCAAACGATGACATGTCAGTGCATTTGTGTGTTGTACAACAAACTACAGAGTTCACCCTTCCTCAGAGAACTCTTTGCCTTTTCTTAGAGACCCTCGGTCAGTAAGCATTCAGCTTAATCACGTTCCAAGAGCCAATACTCTTCCTTCTTCAAGTACCCGATGCAAACGCTACAGAGTTTCTTTTCTTAAAAAAAAAAAAAAGTCACAGCAGCACTTGACAGCGAAGCCAAGAGAATGACTTCACAGAGCATAGCTCAAAAGTGCCACTCAAACTTTCTATACTGCCCAAATCAGCTGATTCACAACTTGACACAGAACACCTGAGCCACGTTAGAGGCCCTGCAGTTAACTGCTTTCGGTAAATATTTGCATCCAAAGCATCATCAACGCTAATAGCTGCCTTGAAAGGGGACACACACACACAATCACACAATCACACAATCACACATACACACACCTCGCTGGCCACCGTCTGTCCCGAAACTGTATAAATATACACAATAGACCTGCAGCTCTCCGCCAGCCCCCAGACCCCCTTCGTGGCAACCAGGACAGCAACTCTCCCGCTTTCCACTGCTGTTGACCGTGTGTCTGTGCGCGTGTGGGGTGTGTGTGCGCGAATGGGGTGTGTGCGCGCGTGTGGGGTGTGTGTGTGTGTGTGCAGGTTACCGGAGAAGGAGATCCGTTCTTGCAGAGGGGCCCCCTGAAGACGCCTTTAATGCCCCGGTAGTGCCCATTGCTGAGATGTCTCGAACTGATGACCAGGTAACAAGCCATGTGGGTCGGGTCGGGGCGGGAGGCGGAGAGTCTCAACTCCTCACCAGGCGACCGGCGGTGGAAATGCGGGCTGGCTTCTCCTCAGCAGCACCCGTGACTGCCACCTCCCGAGAAGAAGCGGCCGGCACTCAGCAGAGGAGGACGCGTTGGTCGCGCGTCCCCGCTCCTCTGCCCGCGCGGGGCTCCCGCAGCCGCTCGCGGCTGCTCTGACGGCGGCGGCGGCGGCGGCGGCGGAGGCGACAGTGACCGCGGCAGCCACAGAGCACTGGGGGGGTGGGAGGGAGCCGGGGAGCCAGTCCACATGCTGCTCTGACGAGGTGGCTGCTCGATCGCTCACCGAGGATTGACTGGGATTATTTTAAGGACAACTTCGCAGGCCCGCTAGGGACTCGGGGCGTAGAGCCCGGGGGAGGGGTGGGGGGGGGGGGAAGAGGAGGGGGACTTCCCCGCCCCCTTGGCTCGGCCCCTCCTCAGCAGCCGGTGCGGGTCCGGGAGTTCCTGGACGCGCATCGGCCCGTCTGCCCCGAGCGTCCGCAGGCTGCGACGCCGGGAAACCCGCCGCGGCGGCGGAGGAGGCTGCGGCGGCGGCGGAGGCGGCGCGCGCGGGGCGAGTGGCGGGGCGTCCTGGGAAAGACAACTCGCGGCCCGCGCTGCAGCGGCGGGGGAGGGCACCCGGGCGGCGGCGAGGGAGACCCGGGACCCGGGGGCGACACGACGGAGAGCTGGAGAGCCGCGAGCTGCTTCCCGGCTCCGGACGCGCCGCCGAGCAGGGGCGCCTGGAGGCTGGCCGGGCCCGGAGGCAGCTCTGCCACCGGCCTCCCGGCCCTCGGGAATCCCGGGGCGTCCCCCGCCTACACACACACACACACACCCGGCCGGGTCAGGCAGCAACTTTGGCGGGTGTTGGCGAGCTGAGCGCCGAGCGGGAGAGGGGCCGAAACGGCGCGTTCCCTCCAGCCAGCGCCGGCTCGCTGGCCGCCTTTCCACGGCGCCCGCGGGGCGGGCGGGAGGAGGAGGAGGAAGAGGAGGAGGAGGCGGCGGCCGCGGGAGGTCGCGGCCGGCTGCGCGGTTCCCGACGGCGCGGAGCAGAGGGCTGCGCTGCCCGAGTGCAGCTAAGTTGCGGCTCGGAAAAAAAAAAAAAAACTTGTCTCCAGCAAAGAGAAGGGAAACGGCGTCCCGGGGCTGGGGGGTGAGAACCGCGGTCGGTCTGGGACCCGTTTCAAACATTCACTTCCTGTCCTGCCTTCCCCTAGAAGAAGCTGATGCTGGGACTCGGGGTCTGCGAGACGTTTGTCTCTACGGTCCCCAGCGGACCACCGGCCAGAAGACTGTGTGTGTTCACTGACTAGATTGGCCTAGTCGCTTTAGGGAAAGTGAACCGAGAACAAACTGCACGGGGAATGGAAACGTAGCTGAGCCTAAGGAAGGTCCCGCCCTTCCCGCTGCACCTCAAAGGGGTCTGCGAGTGCCCTGGCCCCTCCTGCGGGGTCTACGTGCAGGACACAAAGACTGGGGGCTCCGCCTTTCGCCAGCCTGGAAATTCAAGGAAAGGAGGAACCTAGTGCTCCCAGTCATCACTCCAGTTTTCTCCGTTTCTGCCTCCCACCTTGGCCCGTTTGCTCCAAGGCTGACAAGGAGGAGCCCTCGCAAATGACCTGAGGGTAAAGAAAGCAGAAGTTTAATGTATCTAATTCAGGCACCTCGTAGAAACCCTAAGGCAAAAATCATTTCCATTATAACTACTCTAATGATCCAATACAGACTCTACTTTTGTTTACATTAACAGCTTTTTTTTTTCTTTACAAATTTTTAAGAAACAAGAGAGCTCCAGAGAAATGGTACTGGGACTGGGGCTCTTGCCTTAAACAGGACTGGCCCAGGTTAGTTCCCCGCACAGCAGTCTATGATCAGTCCCCCAGTACCGCCTGGAATGATCCCTGATCATTTACTACACCAAGTAATAAATAAATAACCACACAGATCTAAATCTCACTTTGAAGGTTTTAGACATCAGTTCCAAAGGTTTTTCAAGAGTGTTCATCACCCAGAAATTTTCTTGTAATATGTGATTAAAATGCCAATTCCTTGCTAACTCCAAACCGAACATGACTGAAAATGAGACAAGAAGATTCAATCCTATAGAACCGAGTTGATTATTTTATAGCTTTCTTGTTGACACTTTTGGAAAAAAATGTTAAAGCATCACAACAATAGATTAACCCACCCTCCTCCATTCTGCTTGGACATGATTTTTTTCTTTAGTTTTGAATTTTCTTTTTAAGATCATATTTTAATAATGTTGGTTAATTACATTCAGAGAGTAATATTCACATATACAAGCATGTGTATACATACATATGCATTAGCTATATTCTATACAAGAGAAACTATGTATTTACAACAGTGTTAATAGTGAAATTTTAAAAATAGATAAAAATTTCTCCCAAAATAAAGTGGAATTTTTATGGAAGTATAATTAACATTATATTAGTTTCAGGTGTACAAGATAATGTTTCAGTATTAGTATATATTGAAAAATAATCACCACAATAAATCTAACTCCCATTCTTGGTTTTATAAGGAAGATATTTTTTCTAACTCCAATAATTAAAAATTTTCAGAGAAAATGGAGAATTAAACACTTTAAACCCATAGCAAATAAATTTTGGACACGAGTCTAATTCTTTACAACAAACCTTGTGAAAAGCAAACATCAAGAGCAGTTTTACAAATCCCATTCACTGAAAGCATTATTCTATCTGATAAATTTCATTCTATGGAAAGGGGTATGAATGGTAAAAAAATGCATTTCGGTCTATAACCAACTTGACATTCCACTTATTTCCAGATTAATGGCTGTGTCTTGCTAATGGACATAGTAGAAGCCTATTTTCCATTGTATTTATCAACACACCCAGAATCAATCCCCTTTAAATATTCACTGCCCAACCTTAGTCCAAACTATCATTACCTCCTGCTTAGACCGTTACAATAACATCCTAACTACCCTCATTACCTCCAAATTTATCACCAGTACAAGAAATTACATATAAAGAAGTAATATTTTAAGACTGATCATGTGTAATAATTCCCTAGTAAGTGATTTACTGATGCAGTATACTCAGAATAAGATACAGATTATATGCAATTAAAAAAAATAATCCTGCTTACTTGGGTTTCGGCCCACTGTCTTCTATTGAATTTCCTTCTTCTTTCTGCTCCTGGTGATATTTTCAGACTCTCAGCCCCTCTCAACAAATGTTATTGGTGAACATTTGTTCCAGGTGTTCTTCTAATGGGCATGTTCTTATATGAGCCTCCCAAGAAAAGGCAGCTTTTTGCCATTAAGATCATATGTGAAGTTGTTTGTTAGGAAACTTCCTTCTGACCTCAAGCACTAATGTAGTTATTTGGACCCTCTCTACTGTAGGAAACTTTCATTTAAGTCTCTAAGTAAATCAATAGACTTAATTTTTTATTTGGTCCTGAGGTCAGATATGAAGGTGCTCAAGGATATGCCTGGTTCAATGATCAGGGATCACTCTTGGAAGTACTCAGGGACCCATAAGTGATGATCAGGATTAAACCTAGGCTTCCTGTATGAAAAATATGTAGTGCAGATACTGCTCTTCTCTCTCTCTCTCTCTCTCTCTCTCTCTCTCTCTCTCTCTCTCTCTCTCTCTCTCTCTCTCACCCTCCCAGCAACCTTTTTAAAACAAGATTTAGGTTTAGAGAAAACTTTAGCTAAAAGTACAGTATTTACTATCTTCTTACAATCACATCATCCTCCAAATACTTTGTCTTATTATTCGCATCTTTTACTTGGTAAATTTCTCAAAGTTGATGAATCAATATTGAAGTAATATTATCCCAGTTCCATAGTTTACATTATAGTTCTGTCCTCTGTGTAACAGAATCTATGGGTTTGAACAAATGGAAAATGATGTGTATCTACCATTATAATACTGAGCAGAATAGTTTCAGTTCTCTGAAAATCACCTTCGCTTTATTCCTCTCTCTTATACCACCCAAAGAAATACTTAGCAACCGCTGCTACTTTCACTGTCTCCTGTTTTTACCCTTTAAAGAATTCATTCAGAATGGTACAGTCTGCATGTTTTCCAGACTGGTCTCTCATCTATCTAGCAGCCTATTTGCTAATTGACTCTATCACTAGGCAACACACATATCTTTAAATGATTTGATAGCTTGTTGGGTTTTTTTGTTGTTGTTGGAATAATGAAATATACGAATAGTATTTCTTTAGGGATAGAACTGTGAAACTCCCCCTTGACTCAACCGCTTCACCAAAATGTTTAAGACTCCTGTAAATGAGACCTTACTTGCAAATAGGGTCTTTGTGAAGATTAAGTTAAGACAAGTCCTTTGGCACAGGTCCAAATCCAACATCATTGTCCTTATAAAAGGAAAGATTTCAACAAGAATCAGAGACACAGACAATAATGCCACAGAGAGTCAGTTGCACTGCCATAAGTCAAGAAATGCAGAATATTTTCAGCAAAGCACCAACTAGGGGAGAGAGAAGGCATAGTTTTTCTCTCACAACCCTAAGAAGTAACAAGTCCTGCTAACACTTTAATTTTAAACTTCTGGTCTCCTGGACCATGTGATGATTGATTTCTATTGTTGAAGCAACCAAATTTGTGGTACTTGTTTCAGCAACTGTAGTAAACTAATTATATGAGCTACTTCATTTGGTGTAACAGTTTACATGCTGAAGAACTTAGCAGTAGTTTCAAGCTTTGGCAATTATAAATAAAGTTACCGTAAACATTAATGAGCAGGTTTTGTCTAGACATAAGTTTTTAGTTCATTTGAATAAATATCCAAGAAATGTAATTCCTGGATCTACATTAAGTTTTATAAGAAACTGCCAGGCTGAATTCCAGAGTGTCTGTACCATCTAGCAATCCCACCAACAAAGAATGGTTCATTATTTTATTTTAGATCCTTATCAGCATTTGTTATTGTCAGTGTTT